GATGAATAGGTACACATACTATTTGAAGTGGAAGCTGGTACGAAGAACTTTCCTCAGGTTTAATAGAGGCCTCTGTCTGTTCCAAGGTCAAACAGAGTCCCCTTCCGAAATGACAAATACAAAATGTGGAAATAATTCTAAGTACGTTTGCATTGCTAAACGCCGTCAAAAGTAGGCCCTTCTACGTAAATAACACTTGAAAACTCGAGCTATAAATATCGGAGAAATAAATACAGAAATTAGCTTTGTTTTTGCCAAGCACAAGATTTATTTGTGGCAAATTTGGGGCGAGAGCTTTTCGCCAGCACGTGTGCGACGCTTCGCGCAAATCAATATAAATAATCTGCGATAACAAAAACAATGCCAACTCAATCGAAATTTAACAACCAACTCAACCATAAACAAGTTTCAACGCGATTACGGCTCTCAATGTCTAGATTGCACACACGCAAACGGTAAACCATTGGCCATTTTCCGTTTTATTGTTCGAGATACAGCAAAGGCATGTTTTAAAACTAACCTATTGCGGCAATCACATGGCACCGCCAAGTAATATAATACGGCACACAAATATGATATGCAGGTAGAAATGGGCTATTTGTCCCTGCAGAGCCCCGTGCAGCAACCAAATAAACAAAGCATTGTAGTACCCGATGCAGATTAGATCTCTAGATAAATCGCATGTGTAACATTGTCAAACAGATGACAGCGTGACAGCGTCCGCAAATATTGGAGGAGCAGTGCTGTGCTCCGAGATAGGGAATTTCAGCACCGAGTGCAAACATGCTTAAGACGCAATAAAAAGAGGCTAAATATGCAAACAAGCCGTGGAGATTTAACACAAAAGCAGTGTCACAAAGCAAAGAAGCCCGATATTTTATTGCGGGCCCAAAACAACAGAAGCGATAAGAACGATTACTTGTTGCTCCTATGATTAGATTAAAACGTGTAAGCTGAAAGGTTGCTTATGGTGGCGGGAAATCGAAATACCACCCCCGGACACCCTTAACGAAGCATCTAGAAGCGAACACGCTGGGCTGGCTCTGGCTAGCGCTGACCTAAAATCGGGAGAGCTCTTTGTTGGTTGTTTGCCTGTTCATGTTCTCGCTGTCTCGCTTGCACGCGCAGTAAAGCATCAAGTGCAATGGCGAATCGAATGGAATTTTCCCTTGTTTATTGTACATACAGCAAGGGTACGTGTGTGTGCGTGCATTTTGTGACATAATAAAAGCGCGAGTCTGATGGAACCTAAGTGCTGTTGTTTCTTCTACCGTCTGTAACTGTAAAGTCAGGAGACTTTCAATTGCTTGCTTCTGTTCACATAATTCCAATTAGAAGCGAAAGGGACGCAAGTAAACAAAAAATAACAGCGCATATGTATGTGTGAAGCATGTGCGAGGCGTTGCCATATTGTTCAGAATGGATTGGCGACTAAAGTACTTAATTGTTATATAATCTCGGATAAGCAGACAACGGAATTAGAATAAGTCGAACTAACTATAATATACGAAAATATAAACAGGAAATCAGATAGATCTCCCAAAGACCGACGCTGTAAACAGGGTGGCAACCACGCAGGCGACCACAAAAAGATGACTGGAAAACAAAATAAATATCGCAAGACATATGTAGTCAAAAAGCAGAAAGGCGTTTTTCTTAAACGAATTATTTACTTTACTTACGAAATATGCTACAATCATTTGTGTGTACAAGATTGGCAGATTTCTTTACTCATTTCTTCTATTGTTCTTCTGTGTGCGTCACACATTCTTAAAAAGTACCAACACTTATGTAGATTGGTGAGTGTGTATAAGAAATAACCAACACCAAAACCGTAATTTTGTTAGCAGGTTACACCAGCTACTTCACTACAAACCACTACAACCATAGCTACATGCCACCAATTGGAAAGGGGTCGTGGCGCACTGTTTTACATTATCTTTCATTTTGCACTACAAAATCGATTTTTGCACACTTTCTTCTGTATGGCACCTTGGAACCATTACTTACAGTTTATTATTCATACTTGATGGCATTTTTACACTTAATGGTTGCAACTTAAAGCACAAACAACGATTGAAATGATATAAAACAGAAGTTTTGATATGGAAAAATTCGCTGTTCAGTTCAGTTGGAAAAACTGCCTACGAAAACGTAGCACCTGCCTTGATGTCCACAAAAACACTTGGAAGATTTTGATAGCCTCACAATGGTTGCTTTTCTTGATGTCAGTGTCGATAAAATATAAAATACACCCGTCTGACACTCAGAAATACACATTTGCTACATAATGGAAGATAAAAAAGGGTATGGACAACAGGCAAAACGGCTCAGAAACGGAATGCATGCCAGGTAAAATCCACCTATTTTGACCAATATACCTTGAAGACAAAATCGGCTTAGCCCACTTAAGCCCCCCTTATTTAATTAGGTGAACACCTTGAGGGAAACGGCGGTAAATAGTGCTGGTTGTGAATTCTTCTTGTAGATCCATCCTATCCTTTTAAATTACAAAAAACTCCACAATATCTTTTACCTGAATTGCGCTAAAATTCGCCAAGATTCATATTGCTCGTGGAGAGTATTTTAATGTCCAAGTTTGGAGGTCAAATTCGTCGATTTGGATATGCGATTTGATATGACTAGCTATTTCAGTTTATATCTCGATCCCGATACCCATTCTTGGTCTAATGAATCCACAAAACTTATGAATCTTGAAAAATTCTAGTGCAGTTCAGGTGAAAGATATCGTGGTCATCCGCGTATGTTCCGAGCTGTTATGCACAGAAATGTATTTTTTGCCAACGTTCCGTTAACCGAATCGGACTGCGTCAGCTGTTTGCACGAAGCCGAAATGTTTTAGTGCCCTAACCAATTATTTCCGACGCAAATTTAAGATTGGTCTACAAGCTAAGTTGCCCTAGTTATGGCGTAAAATTTATGTTGTTTATGTTGTTTTTTTTGGGTAATTTGAATATTGTATTTGAACATAAAATTTTATCACAGATACAATTATGTTTTTTGCAGTAACTGTTAGAGCAACTTATATAACAAGCAAAGGAAAAATTACGATGATTAAAAAAAATGCGTGCAATTATATGTCCAGGTTTCTAGGATGGGCAGGTCGACTGGGTGTATTCTGACCAGCCTACGCCGGTATCTGGTTTTCGCAAGACGCCTCGCAATCAAATTATGTTTGCTTATGAGCTTACAAATATGGCTCTTCGTTAAGGTCCTTGGCGATGTCCCGGTTACGGATATACCACTAGCCAGAACATTTTCTGGACCATTTCTGCTCCTCACGCTACGGATGTGACTGTCGAAAGTTAAACGTGAATCCAGTGTAACTCAGAGGTATGTGTGATTCCTACGCTGCTCCACGAGTTTCCCAAGCAGTTAGCAGGGTTTATGGAGATATTCCATCGGCAGGTCCAGTTTTTAAACAGCTTGAGGTATTGCTGTAGATTGTCTGTGCCATCGTAGACACAGCTAGCTCCCGAGAGCCACAGCAAATGTTGCCACCTTGAGGGTCTGCCTGGTTGCCTTGACCTGCGGCGACTTCAGTATCCTTCGTAGGATGCAGCCCTAAAAACATTTTGTAAAAGGTCAACAAGGTCTATGGTTGTTGAGGTCTTCCGGTGGCTTTCCTGGCTTTGGCAACAGAATTATTTGGGCACAAGTTGTCGTTAATGTAGCAACAAGAGGCAGGTGGTCGCAGCTGGGGTCATGCTCTTCACGGATGCTAAGCTGATTGCTGGGAATAGATATATGGATCGATATATGGAGAAGTCTAGGCAGGAGGGCATGGATCTCCGAAACGGTGGGTAGAAGGTGGGGCTTCCTGTCGCTAGAATTTTTGTCGAGCCATTGGTTAGAGCGTCATGCAGCGCCAACCATCTGTGATTGCCCCAAAGCCTGTGCTTCGCATTAAAGTCTCCTCCAACCCAGTTACGACAGAAGATTGTCGAAATCAGTGCTTGACCAGGGAATCGATGGGGGCAAATAGGCTGCAGCAATAAAACCATGACCGCCACAAGCTGAATGTGCTCCAATTGCACAGAACAATTGGTAGTGGGAAATATCCTTCCGAACGAATACAGCTGCTCCTCCTCTGGAATTGTTGGATGGGTGTTCAGCTCTGTAACACTCGTATCCGTAGAGCGTGTAGTTTTTCCCTGGGTATAGTTAAACAAATAGAGCCAGCCATTAGTGTTGTAAACCAGGCTACGGGCGTTCCAGAATCCGATCCTCAGGCCCGACAGCATTATGGTTTTCAGAGAGATTGTACATTTCTCACCTTTCTAGCACCTAGGATTTGCGGAGAGACGTTCATGGCGGATTGGTGATTTTGATCTTGGAGGATCTGTCATATTCTGCAGGCTTTCCGCTGCAGTTTGAGCATGTGAGGTAGTCCTCGGTCATGGCAGAAGGCAAACAATTAAGATTCGTTTCGTCTTATAAAAAACCGTTTACTTTTCATTTTATCAAGGAAAATGTTTTCTTTTTGAAAACGATGAAATCTTGCGGGATTTGAAACGGGAGCATAAACATATGTTATTTTTTTTATTATTATTATTAACTATTATTATTAGTATATTATTATTAGTAGACTAAATTTTCGCAGTTATATTCAATTTGAGATCCTGGTTAAATAAAGGGGGCTTTAGTAGGCTAGGTTTTTTTTCATCGGTATATTTACGGTATTTCTGAAGGTCAGGCGGCCACACTGCTTCACTCCTGCGACGAAAAAAAGAGTCGTAATTTTGAATGGTCAATAAAAAAGTGTATGGACAACAGGCAAAAACAGCCAAGGCAAATTGTAAGGTTCGTTATAGGCTATTCATACTGACGACAATATCCATCATCCATTTTGGATGTTCCTAAACCGCATATTTCTATGCGATAGTTAGCCGATGGTTTTCAAATGCAACCCTGAAAGCAATGAATGGTAATAAAAAATAGTTTGCGCCTAGATATATATTTATCATATCATAATATGAATTTTAAATCGTTGTGGACTAATAAAAAAGAAAAAAAAATTCAACTGACACAATACCAAATGGAATGGCCAGTAATGGTAATAAGTAATATGTATGTTTGCATGTATGTGTTTGCTTTTTATGATTAGCATTTTGCAGCCATTAAAAAAAAACAAACAATACACGCATGTCAAATAGGAAAGCTTAGATGGAAAATCTCGCTATGAACATTTCGCATGATAGTACTGCGGATGTAGCTGGAAAATCTTCTGGAGATTTTTGCTGGAAGTCCAGAAGGAGGAGGAGCACCAGAATGCGAAGCAGCCAGGGCCAAACCAACTTCCAAGGAGAGCTTCTGCAATTTTCACGGAAGTCCAAAGAGCAACGTTTATTGTATGTATATGGATTGTTTCATTATAGCCAATAAAATATAAAATTAACTAATTTAAAATTGTGTAAATTTCTCAATTCATTCCAAAACTTTTTATAACCGATGCTCAAAATGAGTGTTCAGGCCAGCAGTAAACAATTTCCGCGCACTGTGCCAACTTCGTGCGCCCCGGTCCCAATTCACTCTCGCGCGCTCGGAGGGGCGCTCGGATCCACAATCCACGATCCACACGGCGCTCACGGCAGCAAAAGCATCATAAGGCATACAGTTAGTTAGTTACGATTTCACCCCCGCTTCACCCCCAAACCAGACATCTGTGATATGTCACTGTTACAAGTGTATTTCAAAACTTCGGCCCGCCCCTTTTTGCCCGCACAAAGGACGCAAATCTGTGGCGTCTACAATTTTAGAGATACGAGAAACCCAAAAACGCAGAAACGCAGAATTCGTAGAGAATTATGCCAGATCGACCAAATTTTGTAATCATATTGAAGATACGAAAAAACTAGAAACGCACAATCATAGAGAATGACCACATCTACCAGATTGCCGAATCTGAATCAGATCGGATCATTTTTATTGCCAAAAGGAACAAATCAATTTGCAGTGGATACGCAGCGCCCGACGACACGTTCAGATACGTTCAAACACGTTTTCTGTCTCTCCCGCACGCACTCCTTGTCTTTTAATGTAGGGTATAAATGTACAACGTTCCCCCTCGTGTATTATATGCTCGTTAGCTGCTTTTTGACGGCTTGTAGATTGTAGAAGCTGCCAGTGTTAATCGAGGTTTCACATCTGTCAAAATATCCCACCGTTCCAGCGGGTGCTGCCACGCGAAAGATCCATACTTGAACCGATATATATTTATCGATAAGTATCGCATATTTTAGGTCAGCTGTTGAACATCTCTTGAATTGTGCAATAGCGGGAACTTCTGATATTTTCCGTTTTATCTATTACAATTTTAATATGAGTGGGCTTAGAGTACGCGGCTTGTTAGCCCTCAGTGCGACTGCCTTGGGAGCTTTTTACCTAGGCTCCCGAACAGAACGTCTCCAGCAGAGCAGCGATGTTTTTCCGCGCTTGCCTGGACTGCCGACATTTGGGACAGTTTCAGCCGCTAGTCTTGTGGCCTCCAATGTAAACCTGACTGCAACGCCGTCGCGAATCTCGGAGATCATGAAGTTTGGCTTTCCAGGGCTGGACAACGTGCGCTCCCATTCAGACTATGTGCTCTCCTACGACCGACGCAATCGTATTCCGCATTGGGTGTTTGAGCACCTCACAGCGGAGTCAGTGGCAAAAAACGATTCTGTGGATCGTTCGAAATGCGACTTCAAACCAGATGAGAGCATACATCCCTTCTTCCGATCACAGAACACTGACTATAGAAAGTCTGGCTTTGATCGTGGCCACATGGCTGCCGCTGGCAACCATCGACTGCACCAGAAGCACTGCGAGGAAACCTTTTACCTGTCGAACATGGCGCCCCAGGTGGGCCAGGGGTTCAATCGCGACGCGTGGAACTCTCTGGAAATGCACGTGCGCAAGCTAACCAAGAGTTACTCAAATGTGTATGTCTGCACGGGTCCACTGTACCTCCCCCACAAGGAGGATGACGGCAAAATGTATGTCAAGTACGAAGTCATCGGGTCCAACACCGTTGCCGTACCCACTCACTTCTATAAGGTTATCGTGGGCGAGGCGGCCGATCACAAACTACACATGGAGGCATACGTAATGCCCAACAAGGTGATTAGCAACGACACCCCATTAAATGTGTTCCAGGTACCACCAGAGACGGTGGAGCGGGCGGCCGGACTGCTCTTCTTTGATCAGATTAACAGAAACCAGCTGGCCAGCATCAACGGCAGGAAAGTTTGAGTTTGAGCCAAAGTTTAGTTGAATTTTAGTGTATTTGTGTACCTTTTTTATATAATTTTTGTTCTTTTCAAAAGAATTTAGTTGTTGATTAATAAATTGAAACAATTAATACAGATAAACATAAGTAGATGAGGCGATTCGCGGGTGTTCGTGAGAAAATAGCAAAGCGAAGGGGATGTGTGAAAAATCTATGTCTGGGTGCTGATTGATGTGTGTTGCGTGGCGAGGGCACTCAGAAAGTTCTCTACATGCTACCATCGTTCTTGGATCGCACGTCATCGATCTTGAGTATCATTTTGACGAGCTGGGTGGACAGCAAGATTTGCTGTTTCTTCGAGTTCAACGACTCCACAACATTGTGGCTCTTCATGTCCGAATCGCCGGTCAGCATGCAGTCAACACCCAAGCTAGGTTTCTTCTCAGCGACCTGACTGGCCTTCAATTCCGACAACGTTTCAATCGGATGGAGACCGCTGTTCTCGGCCAGGGCCAGGGGAATGCTCTCCAAGGCCACGGAAAAGGCGCGGAATGCGTACTGCTCCAGGGTAGACAGCTGGTCGGCCTCCTTGGCCACAGCCAGGGAGCAACTGATCTCTGCGGCTCCACCACCGTACACAATACGCGAGTCCTTGACTAACGAGCGCACCACACAGATCGCATCGTGGATAGAGCGTTTGGCCTCGGCAATGATCATTGCATTGCCTCCACGCAGGAAGATTGTGACTGCCTTTGAGTTTTTGCACTCCTCAATCACAAGCATTTTGTCCTTCGACGTGCCGAAAGCTAAAAGTGAAGACATAAATCAATTATAGTGTCTGAGACATGCGCAAGCATCGAAACTCACCCATCTCACGCACTAGACCGGCTGATCCGAGCTTTTCAGGAGTCAGCTCCTCAAACCGCGGAACAATGCGACCACCAGTTGCAATAGCGATGAGCTCAATCTCAGGACCACCGACCCAGCGTACTGCGGGGAGATCCTGCTGCAGCAGTAGATGGTTGGCTTCGTCGTCAAAGCCCCACTGACAGATGGCCAGAGTGGCGCCGGCGTCTTTCACTTGCTTGACCATCAGCGTAAACTTCTCCTGCTCGTACTCGCGCAGCGCCCTGTAGTCCTCGGCAGAGGTAACGTCCAACTTATGCTTGGTCTTGGGCTTGGGAGGCTCAAATGGGCAGGTGAGGATGGCCAGCTTAACATTTCTCAACTCTTTGGGCATTTGCGAGTGGCTAAGAGTCTTGTCTACAATGACGCCCTTCACCAGCATCGAGTCCTCCATGCGACCTCCGACCTTAGTCTCGATCTTGATGAGCTCAAAGTTGACATCCTTCTTTTCAATATCGGCCACATTGAGGACAGCGTCTACTGCCATCTCGGCCATTTGACGATGGCATTTGTTCACAATCTTGCTTCCCAGCGTGGTCATAGCTATCTGAATGAGTGGCTCCTTATTGTTAGGATCCACGGGGAAGGGTTCAGCAATTGCATCGAGTTGCTTGATGGCGCACTGAGCAGCCAGCTCGAAGCCATCTGCAATGCGAATGGGATGAATGCCACGGTCGATCAAGCTCTCTGCCTGCTCTAGCAGTGCACCGGCTAAGACAACAACGCCAGTGGTGCCGTCGCCAATTTCATCGTCCTGCGACTGCGACAACTGCACCATTAATTTGGCAATCTCGTGCTCCACCTCCATCAGTTTCATAATAGTGGCACCGTCATTTGTGACAGTCACATCGCCATCAGAGCTGACCATGATCTTGTCTAGACCCTTGGGTCCCAGAGACGTCTTCACAGTCGAGGCGATCTGACGTGCCGCCATAATATGCGTCTGCAAATAACACCAATACCAAGAAAAGACTATTAATTACCTATCTTTCACCAACCATAAGTTTTCACAGTGCGCGTGACTCAGCCGGCGGCACGCTGCGGCGCTTTAACGGCGAACATCTGTGCGGCTTTTTAACCTCAAAACTGATAAAATGACGTCAGTTTGATGCATTTTCAACTAAATAATATAGCTGAAGGAAAAACTCGTTTCCAACATCCCTGTCCACTCCACTGGCAGGATAAGTTGAACACTTTTATGAATGCATTTTACTGTCTCTCATAAAAATTCCGGCTGGAATGAACATCTGGAACATTCGGCAGGCGATGCGTCATTTTATGCGGAAGACAATGCTACAATTCACTGGGAAAGACCTTTTGGAGTCCTTTTTTTAAAATTCATTCCTTTTAAAAGGAGGTTTGTCCACTTGGGACAATGGGATCATAGTTTTCATTTACCTTGATGGCATCTGTTCCTGTGATGCGCTTCTGGCTCTCCTGATCACGCAAAATAATGAAAGGCCGACCATATTCGTCAAACGCGAACGTACCTGGGAAGGCGTTCATAGTTTTTAAGTTTTAAGAATCGCGGATTTCTACGAATTTTCGAGATTAAATTTTCCTTCAATCTTATATTTTTCGCTTTTAATTTCGTTTTCCGGAGCCAGTGTGACCTAGTGATGTAAAAAAAACATCGATGCATCGAGCATCGATGTTTTTCTGCCGATGTTTACTGATGTTTTCCGATGTTTTTACTTCTACCACTAACCATACAGTATATACTGTATGGTTAGTGCTTCTACCGATGTCGAGTGATGTATCGATGTTTTGCAAAACATCGATCAATTCATTTCAAATCTGTAAGCAGCAAACACAGCAATGCCTGCCTCATTTGAAAGCAGTCCTTCGTGTTTTTGCGACGGTATGAACAGTACCTGTCCTAATTTATACAAAATTGCAATGCAATTTTTGACGTTAATGGCATCTTCTGGGTGTATTTTGAACGGGCCGCATTTTGGTTTTTGCAAAGCATTGACAAATAGTACTTATTTGAAATATTAGTTATCTCTGATCTACAATGATATGTAAAAGACTGCTATGAAAGCATAATCATTTCTTCTATGTTAAGAATTTTTTCGTTTAGTCCTATGATATGTAAAAGACTGCTATGAAAGCTCAAGTTTAATTTTTCCGTTGTTGAATATTCGGTTTTATAATCAAATGGGAAAGTTTTGAAACATCGGTCATCATCGATGCATCGAAGAATCAATCCGATGTATCAATCCAACATCGATGTTTGATTTTGAGAACATCGATGGACATCGACATCGATGTTTTCATTCAAATTTATATCACTAGTGTGACCGCGGATTTATCGATAAAATATACCGTCCTACCCTCAGAAAATATACCGAAACATACCGTCTTACTTTAAAAATATACCGTAAATATACTGACGAATTCAAGTTCTATTTTACATATTCCTCGTTTTTGATATTCCGACGAATATAAATAGCTATATAGAACATTTAGCGATGCCCACATAATTTTATACGATTGATGAATCAATTCTATACATGATTGGCCTATTCGAAATATTTCCTTTTATTGGATTTCTATATAGCATTGAAAATTAAATTAATAGATTGATGAAATTGACAAAAATACCATGGGAGCGCGGCGAAACCAGTATTTCTACAGTATGACCTTCAGAACAGCACCGAAATATACCGCCTCATTTTAAAAATATGCCTTAAATACTGACGACTTCAAGTTCTATTTTACATATTCCTAGTTTTTGATATTCCGTCGAATATTACTAGCTATATAGAACATTTAGCAATGCCATCATAATTTTATGCGATTGATTAATCTATTTCCTACATGATTGGCCTATTCGAAATAATTTTTTCATTCATTTCATTTAATAACCTTAAGTCTTAATAAGACTTATTAATAATAATAAAGTCTTAATAATATACTAATCGCTAACATCACTATCGTCAATAACGATGTCGCTGGGATTTTTTAACAGCATTTCAGTGTTCGGTTCAAAATTCTCGCAACCGTTGTCCTTCCTTAGACCTTGTCTCACATATAAAAGATTTGAAACATTTATATTCTTAAATGTATTGATTTGAGTCATTTCAGTCAGTCTGTTAGACATGGGGACCGGTTACTTGTAATAGAGCTGCTGCTGTCGGCTGGTACTTTATAGGTCCTCTTAGGGATAAGAGGGATTAAGGATTTATCTTCTTCGGGAGGTTTTCCTAGGCATTGAAATGTCAATTGCTGAAGATAATCCTTTTTGGCCCTGATCTTTGGGCGCTCTTTTTCGAGCTGCCCCTGCTCTGGCGCAAGTAATATTTCCTGCCGCTGCTTGTCGAATAGGTCTTTGCGGTCCATGATCTCCTGATCGCCAATAGTAAGGCAACTCGTTGGGGCCGGGTTTTCTTTGCTCTGTACAAACGGAACAGAGAAAACTTACGCCCCTCAATAGGTGACCCCTCAAGTCATCATGGCTGTCATCATTCTGAGTGATTCCATAGTCGCCGACCAGAGCCTCATCTAAATAGTCATCAATGCCGAGGCCTGCGACGAGTTAAGCCAACTGTCCTGGTTGTAGTAGAAATCCTGATCGGCAGCGGTGTCCACCTTGCATCTGCCCTCCAGCGCCAGCTTTGTTTTCAAAGATGGCTGTACGCCCGGATGGCAAGCCAGACTTGACGCTTGCCCCAGAGACAGGAGCTATTTCCGTAGACACCGCCGCTGAAGAGAGAGAGATTTCGAGAGAAATGGAGAAGTGAACTTCATTGGGAATTTAAAATACTATGAGAAAGAGCTGTTCTTCATATTTATAGATGAGCTATGGATTAAAATTGGGGTAAGAAAAATGTATTTGTACATATGTATGTATACATAAATACGTGCCTGTGAGAAGAAGAACAACGAGCACAGTGGATGAAATGACCGGGACCGTAATCATTATAAGTTATATAATAAAAAACCCTTGGTAATGATTATATTTAAATTGTATACATTTTTTTCACTGATAATCATTAGTTTTGAGTAATTTGATACAATTTAGACTCATTATTCTTGATCAAAAAAACGAAAACTCAAAAATAATGATTATCTATGATTTTTATTTTTTTCGATCCACAATTTGTAAGATACAAATAAATTAAAAACGCACAATCATAGAGAATGACCATATCTCCAGATTGCCGAATCTGGATCAGATCAGACCATTATTATAGCCAAAAGGAACAAATCAATTTTCAATGGCTACGCAGCGACTA